CCAGTACAAGCCGTGGGGCCCCTGTTTTTCTGTGCCAGCGTATGTGCTGCAAATTGCCAGAGTGTGTGCGTGAGTTTGTTTGCTTTTTTGAAAGAAAGACGCCCACGTGCCAAAGAATAGAGAAAAGGAAGGTTGGAGTTTGTGACCACATGAGGGAGGCAGCTGGGGCAGAGGTGAGAGTCACAGCCCCCCGGTTGAGGGGGAGAAGGGAAGAGACTTAGGGGCCCTCCCAGGCTGCTGTGGGGTCAGAAGGGAGGAGCGTTTCACCTGCTGTGGAGACCTGGGGGCGGCCACTCAGGTTCTGAGGCAGATAGACTGAAGTCTAAATTACCCAGTTGAAGAAAAAAAAGGGGAAGATGTTCCAGAAAGGGCCAAAGGGAGGGGCCAAGGAGGCAGGATGTGCCCGGCGTGGGGGAGATTCTTAAATCTTCTGGTTATGAGGATTCAACTAGAAAATTCATAGGTCATGCTACCGCTGTGGCAATAGCTATTGAGGGAAAAAAATAGGATTCAATTCATGAAATATTAAAAAGGCAAGTGAGTTGACCTTTTAAGTGATCTTTATAGTATTAAGAGATTTAAAGAAGTAAGTTCTTGGTAATTAGACCCCTCAGGGAGAATTTAATTTGCATCTAGGTATGATCAGTGTTAAGTAATTCAGTACAAGTTTTACTTTGGCCAGTCTTGAGCTGAGTCTCAGGCTGGTGAGGACACAGGCAAGGTATAGGGTGATCTCCATTAGCCTAGTTTTATCCTCTCCCAGCCAAGGAACATTAAAACCTGTTCACTCAGTGGTTACCAGATGACCTCTGGAAGTATCTAAAGAGAGTGGGTGTAGTATAGTCACTTCTGTTCTCATGAGATCCTTATCCAGAATTTCAAGAGCTTGTAGGAATATTGATTACAACACAAGTCTCGTAGGGCTGAAGGGCAGGGATGTATTTTATTTTCTTGAGACAAATGGGGAACCTGAGAGTGAGGGTCGTCAGGCTACTTGCCAAAAATTACGAACACTTCAAAACACAAACTGTGGCAGGTGCAATTTTAAAAGTGCTGGTGTCTCTGAAGATACTAGTGTCTTAGCCAATTGCCTGTTACCGCATTTCAATCGTATTGACTCTAATTCTTACTGTTAAAAAGAATGTGGCAATTGTACACTATTTTTACAGAAAAAAATTACTAGAAGTTGAATTGCTGTTGAAAAAGTAATACACATTCAAAACTTTGACAGGCATCATCACATTGGTTTAAAAATATATATTCTTGAAATAGCTGCATGTATTTGAACACTGTGGTATGCCTAGCTCTGCGCCAGGTGCTTTGAATGTGCCACCTGATCCAGCCCTGGGAAAAACCCTAAGGAGGGAGGCACCACCTGGTTTCTAAATGGAACCCTAAGGGACACCAATAAAGCAACCAGGGCGGCCGGCCAGGACAGAGCCTGTTTATATTGACGGGATGGGGGGCCTCTCTCACCCCACCCACGTGGAAATGGCTCTTAAATGTTTACCAATTTAAGAAGTGAAATGTGATTCCGCTCCTGATTCTTATGTGTCCATCCTGGATGCAGTTGGACATCTTGGTGTGTTTATTGTACCTACCCTTTTCCCGACTTCTTTTCACATCCTCTGCTCCATTTTTCACTGGATTTCCATATTGACTTCTACGTAGCGTGAGTAATAACCCTTTGTCGGGTGCTGCAAGATCTTTTTTCCTTCCGTTCGTTTCTTTCCACTCTCTGCTTCGTGTCTTTTGCCAACTAGAACTTTATATTGCAAGTCTGCGTGCCTTTGACAGCCGTAGCATTTTATTATTGTCATCCTGTCCTAGGGTGTGGTATGTTTCCGTGTTTTCTTATGTTTTTATAATTTTCTACTTAACAAGTATCTCAGATTATCATGGAAATCTTCCAAGTATTAAAACTTATTAGCAAATTATTCTTACGTGATTTCTTAAATTTCCTTGGGATCAGTGATTCATTAAAAACACTATCGAGGAAGTAAGCTTTATTTTTATTCATGTCAGGTCTCTGCATACATTGGAAAAATTCTAGTATAATTATTCAGAAGAGGTAATGGTGCAATTTTCAGCTTTCTCGGAGTAGGAGACACTGTCTTAAAAATGAGAGAGCTTAGAAAAAGAACTTTGCGTCTGTGCCAGGTTAATTTCCACCTGTCCCAGGTTAACAGAGGTGGTTCTGTACTGATTGCTGTGGGACAGTGTTCTCGGTCTGTGCCATAAGCAATTCCCCCATTCAGTTTAGTGGACACCAGAATTACAGAATAATGAGAAACGCTGTTCAGCAGTTATAGCCTGTAGATGGACCTGAGGTCACAGACAACTAGACAGAGAGGTCACACGGATATCACGTCCTAAAGTATCAGAACTCTGGGACATCCATCATTGCTGCTGCCAAGATCGGCCCTTAATAGTTGGTTATAATCAGGCAGTGAGCATCTCCAGGTTTCTCATAGGTCTGACCTTAAATAGTAAGAGCCCTAGGCCAGGCGCATTAACTCATCCCTGTAATCCCAGCACTTTGGGAGGCAGAGGTGGGAGGATAGCTTGAGGTTAGGAGTTCGAGACCAACTCTTGAGGAGGCTGATGCAGGAGGATCACTTGAGTCTAGGAATTTGAGGTTGCTGTGAGCTATAATGATGATGTAACCATACTCCAGCCTAGGTGACACAGCAAAACCTTGTCTCAAAAAAATAACAAACAAGGGTGACTGGTGGGAGGAGGGAGGGCATTTGGTGGGATCTTGCCAAATGTGCACAGTGCAAGGGTGCATTTCAAAATAACTAAGAGTAAATTATAAATGTCCTGCCAAAAAAAAGAAGTCATTGAGGTGATGGTTATGTGAATCCCTTTGATTTAAGCATTCCACATTGTATATCAAATTATCACATTGTACCCCATAAATGTATATAATTATGATTTATTTCAAAATAAATTTAAAAAAGAAAAAAAAAACAAGATATAAGCAAACAAAAAACCAAAAGAAGAAATACAAACTCATAAAATGAGAGTCCAATAAGGTCATTGTGAGAACATGATGATTGTGGTAGGTGGTTAGTACCTTGAAGAAAGAAAAGATAAAACCTCCCTCCTCCCCCTCCCTCCTCACTCCATTTCTCTCCTTCATCCTGGGCCATAGTTGTGTTCTATCTTTTATAACCAAGTGTGAGTCAATATAAGTGTTATATATATATAAGGGTTATATTGCAAGGGTACAAGTCAAATCTGTCAAGAATAGAACATAAATGTCTTAACTCAATAATCAAGTACATGAGGTAAAAGCTATGTTGATTGGTTTGATGTAACCAGGTCGGATTGTATAGAAAAAATCAACACATTGTACCCCACATATGCCTAAATGTATTCATGATCTATGTGTATTTGACTTACTAAAAAATAAATGAAAGAAGAAAGAAAAATAATTTGAGGAGTATTTAAACCACCAAACTTCCTCACATAATAGGTGCCACTAGATTTGTTACATAAAATTATTTTTTCCTTTCTTTTCACATACAGCTACTCTCCAGAGAGACCGAATCTTCAAACATTTTACCAGGAAGCGCCAAAGGGCGATGCGGAGACGCGTCCACCAGATCAACGGACACAAGTTCATGGCCACGTACCTGAGGCAGCCCACCTACTGCTCCCACTGCAGAGAGTTCATCTGGTAAGACGCCCTTCACTCTCTCCCCTTGGCTTCCTCTGCCCGCGTGTTCCCTCAGGAGAAAGCCCTGAGCTAAGAATTATTCGAGGATCTTTTGTTCTTCCCCTCTTTTTTTCAGTATGTTGACCCAGTAATTTTAATCCATGTTACCTAAAAGAAAATCTAAATGATTCACATTTTATTTTTATTTTTTTAAATTTATTTTAACTTATTTATTTTTTGAGACAGAGTCTCACTTTGCCACCCTCGGTAGAGTGCCATGGCATCACAGCTTACAGCAACCTCAAAGTTTAAGGCTCAAGTGATTCTCTTGCCTCGGCCTCCTGAGTGGCTGGGACTACAGGTGTCCCTCCCAAAACTCGGCTATTTTTAGAGACATGGTTTTGCTCTGGCTCAGGCTGGTCTTGATCTGGGCCTGGCCCAGACTCAAGTTTTAGACTTTCTTTATTCAATCATTTTGGTACTAATGGATCATGAACTGATTTTAAAAAGTAACAGCAGGGTATAGCATCTCACGCCTGTAATCCCAGCACTCTGGGAGGCTGGGGCAGGTAGATTGCTTGAGCTCTGGAGTTTGAGACTAGCCTGAGCAAGAGAGAGACCCCATCTGTACTAAAAATAGAAAAACTAGTCAGGTGTAGTGGCAGGGGCCTATATTCCTAGTTACTTGGGCGGTTGAGGCAAGAAGATCATTTGAGCACAAGAGTTTGAGATTGCTGTGAGCTATGATGCCACGGCACTCTACCAAGGGTGACAAAGTGATACTCTGGCTCAAAAAATAAATAAATAAAAAGCATAACATAACTCAGAAAAAGCATATTTAACCTGCAGATAAATATTTAGTTAATAAATTGGATAATCAAACACTGAAGAGGAAGGAAAATCAGCAGTATTATTTTAAGAAGGCATGAATCATGGGATAACTTGTGGAAATTAGTTGTTGCAAGAAACTGAACACATAAAAGTCTTCAGCCTCCTGGTGTGTAGCAGAAGGCAGCAGCCTTCAGTGATCATATGCTATCACCCCTGGCAATTAGGAACTAAGGTAATTAAAAGTTGAGAAATTCTAGAGAATATCAGTTGTACTACACATACAACTGAAGCTTTTCAGTCTCAATGCCAAATCTAAAATGTGAACTAAATTTAAGTATTAACTTTGATTCAAAGCCACATCAGCATATTTGGTTAGAAAGAGAAGAAATACCTTCTCTCACACACGTCAGCATACACGTACATACCCCTCGTAGAGGGAGGAAATGTGGGTCAGTAGCACAAGAGGAGATCTGTGTTTTTGTTGCAAACTTTCACCAGTTTGTTTAAGGACTGCGGGAGCCCTGGGTTCAGAGTAGTTTCTGAGTATTGATCAATTACTTTGCATTCTGTTTTCTGTGCTCACTTTGGGTTTCAGAACCTAGAGACTTGAGGCCCTAAACTAACTGTTGATACGAAGCTGAAAAAAATGTATCATAACATTTATAGTCTTTAGGGGAAAAAATCCTGTTTTTTTTTTTTTTAATGGAAAATATTAGCATCTCTTGGGCGACTCCTGTGGCTCAAAGGAATAGGGTGCTGGCCCCATATACTGGAGGTGGTGAGTTCAAACCTGGCCATGGCCAAAAACTGCAAAAAAAAAGTCAGCATCTCTGGTATCTTGGAGGCTGACTTCCATCTTTGCAGTGACCTGCACTTTGTAGTCGGCCCTGTCACCCCTCGATCTGCAGTTTGCTTCGTCTGTGGGTCGGGGGTGCCTGGCTGGTGCACTTTAGTTCATGTCACACCACTCTGCTTCCTTCCCTCATGGGGACAGCCTGGCCCCTGTAGGCATCTGTAGTGACAACCTCTGGCCTCAGCTAATACTCCTAATGGAAACTCGTTTTCTGATTTCACTAAATTTTTCCCAGCAAAGAAACAGCCCCACCCAGCCTTGAACCCTTGATCCATACACTCCCTCTCTCTCACTTAAAATATTGATGTATCTGTCACATACAGTAGAATCTCTGTAATTTCACCACCCACAGAATGTAATAAACTGATCAACACACAAGGGTGGTCAACACAAGGAACTAGGCCTGAAAATTAGGTCAACTTAAGGAGGTGGTCGGCTGTGGAGGTTCCACTGTCTAAATAGTGGTTCTGAATATGGACGCAGGCGTACAGTCTCATCACCAACTGGCATGTGACTTAGCTGTTTTGTATAACCTGTCAGTGCCTCCTCGTTTGCCAAATAAAAACAACTTATGCATTTTAAGTGCCAAGCATTATTCTAAACATTTTCCATCATTGACTTTGTAAAACCTTCACAAAACCCTTGTGAAGCAGGCACTGTTACCCTTCTGCCCTTTTACAGATGAGGTAACTGCAGCTCAAAGCACTAGGCCCTCCAGTGCAGAGTCTGGGCCCTTACCCATGTTACTATGTGCTGCCTCCCGGGGCCTTTGGGAGGACTGAGATAGTACAGTCAGCCACTTGGCCCAGTGCCTGGCACATCACACCGACTTTGTTAGTGTGGTCATTGTTAAGGAGAGTGAGAATAATGTTACTATCACCCATAGAATGTTGGAGAGAGAGGTAGGAGCTGTGGGGCCCAAAGGCATCTTGTGGCAGCAGCTGAGCCCCACTCTGGACTCTGTGGGTGATGGGGCTCAGAGACGAGGGCAGGTGCTGTGGGTCCGGTGGGTGCATGGACTCACCGAGGGCTTCCGTATACGTGCCTGGGTCTGTTCAGTATCTGCACGTCTCTGAGAAGCTGAGGCCCAATGACAGTGCAGATGAGAGCTGATTCCATTGCAGCCTTAGGACGCTACCCTCAGGTAGCTGTGATGGGAGTCAGCAGGAGCAAGCTAGTCTCTCAGACGGTTTTCTTTGTGACTCAGGTCCCAAGCTCAGGCTTGGAAAGCACATTGTCTCTGCTTCTCACCTGAAATTGTGTCTTTCATAAAGGAGCAGGGGGTGAGCTCTGTTTTCCTGAAAGACTGTGGGGGCATTATTGCTGGATTACTTGACTGATGGGTCTTCTTCTCTCTTGTCTTCCACAGGGGAGTATTTGGGAAACAGGGTTATCAATGCCAAGGTAAGAAAGCCTTTTTATTTTATTTTATTTTTCTTTATTAAATCATAACTGTGTACATTAATGTGTTTATGGGGTACAGTGTACTGATTTGATATACAATGTGAAATGCTTACATCAAACTGATTAACACATCCATCACCTCGCTTACTTATTTGGGGGGACCTCACCTAATGTGCATAATGCAATGGTACATTTCAAAATTATCAAGAAAAGAACATAATTGTCTTACCACAAGAAAGCCTTTTTAAAACCATGTTTAATCTTGTTCCTATGTTTTAAGAAATGATCATACCATGAGAAAACAGGATACATTCCATTACTAGTACGGTAAATAACTCTGTAGGTTAGAGGGGAACCCCATATAGTTAAAATTCTGTAGTTTGCTTAGATCCTAGCTGTGCAGTGTAAAAGGGGTGTATTTATTTCTAAAGCCACAGTACCTCGTAAAATTTCATTGCTTAAGGTTTTGTCTCTGCAATAACGTGAAGGTACTGAAAAGCAATGTGGTTCTGTGAACACACCCCTAAACGCCGATGGTAAATCTCTGTGGTTTGCAATCCCACTGTCAACAGGAGTGAAAAGTAGCAGAAGGCTGTTTTCTCTTCTGCTTGAGGAATAGAGGGAATTATCCAAGTTTTATTTTTTAAGTTTCTGATTTCAAAGACAAAAGTAAGGAATCTTCAAAGTTAAGCTACTAATGAGCTTATGTTATTACATGTTAAATTGATCATAATTTTTATTATCCTAAAACTAAACCCCTTTACTGGTGTTCTGGCAGGACCAGAATGAGGTACAATGGAAGGAGTGAAAGGAGACCCCCTTGCTGATGTACCGGGCTGGGCCGGGCTTGCTTTTCCTGGAATCCCATTGCCCTGGCTTGAGCATTGCCATAGTCTACACACACAGTACCTGTCTTCTCAACGTTCCCGCCTAGACAGTTGATAGAATAGCGCTGCGTATCCTAGTGTGGTGGCAAACATGTGAATAAGGAAATCTCACCTTCTCTTTTGGAGGGAGAAGACCTGAATAAGACATATTCTTGGATCTAATTTTGACTTTAATAGGTATGAACAATTCCACTGAGTTCTCAAAGTTAGAAAAAAATGAATATATAATCAATAGGATAACAATAATTGACCTGTATGCCATTGATCTCAGCCCCAGATGAGAGGGTAGTTCGTAGGTCAGGGTCAATGTCACTTCCCGATCTGGCCTCCACAGAGCAGGGACGTGCCCGCAGCGCACTCCGTCCCATTTTATGCCCATCAGCACACATTGAGATACTCTGGAACAGTGAGGTTAAAGTTTTGAGTTTAAAATAATGATTTAGAATATATTTCTGTTATTTTATTTCTGTTCCTTTTTGGCCTGTACCACCACAGTGTTTGATGGCCTGATTTTTAGTCAATCACCTGTTATTTAAAGAGCAGGCAAGACTATTAGCCAGGGGCAGAAAGACGGCCGTTGTTGACCCCTCGCTAAGGGATGTAAGCTAAATGCCTGGTTGGAGAGAGATACACCTCACTAACACCGACCGAAAGCGAACTAGAGCAGATATTTCAGACAAAGCAGACTTCAGCAAAAGGCAAATTATCAGAGATGAAGAGGGACCAATTGCCCAAGAAGATATAACAATTCTTTTTTTTTTTTTTTTTTTTTTTGAGACAGAGCCTCAAGCTTTCCCCCTGGGTAGAGTGCCATGGCATTACAGCTCACAGCAACCTCCAACTCCTGGGCTCAAGCGAGTCTCTTGCCTCCGCCTCCCAAGTAGCTAGGACCACAGGCGCCCGCCACAACGCCCGGCTATTTTTTGGTTGCAGCCGTCATTGTTGTTTGGCGGGTCCGGGCTGGGGATCCGAACCCGCCACCTTAGGTGTACGTGGCTGGCGCCTTAGCCGGTTGAGCTATAGGCGCCGAGCCGATATAACAATTCTTAATGTGGCCGGGCTCAGTGGCTCCCGTCTATAATCCTAGAGAAACTCTGGGAGGCCGAGGTGGGAAGATTGCTTGAGCTCAGGAGTTTGAGACCAGCATGAGCAAGAATGAGACCCTGTCTCTACTAAAAATAAAAAAACTTGCCAGGCGTGGTAGTGGGCATCTGTAGTCCCAGTTGTTTGGGAGGATTAGGAGGATAAAGAAGATCACTTGAGCCCAAGAGTTTAAGGTTGCTGTGAGCTGTGACACTATGGCACTCTACCCAGGTGACTGAGACTCTGTCTCAAAAAAAAATCCTTAGCACATATGTACCTAACGGCAGCATCAGAATAGGTGAGGCAAACTGATAAAACGGCAAGCAGACATAGACAAACTCACTTTTTTTTGAGACAGAGTCTCACTTTGTCACCCTTGTTAGAACGCTGTGGCATCCTAGCCTCAAACTCTTGGGCTCAAGCAGTTCTCTTGCCTCAGTCTCCCAAGTAGCTGGGACTACAGGTGTTCACCACAATGCCCAGCTACTTTTTTTAGAGACAGGTCTCACTCTGGCTCAGGCTGGTCTTGAACCTGTGAGCTCAGGCAATCCACCCACCTCAACCTCCCACAGTACTAGGATTATAGGTGTGAGCCACATGCCTGACCTACAAACTCACTCTTTTAGCTGGAGACTTCAGTGTCTCTGTAATTAATAGATCCACCATGCTGAGAAGCAGCAGGGATATAGTTCTCCTAAGTGGCATTATCACAACTAGGTCAAATTAACACTAGTAGATTACTCCATCCAACAATAGCAGATTACACATTTTTCTCAAGTTCATGAGGAATGTTTACCAACATAGAACACTTTCTGGGCTGTGAAACCTATCATAACAAATTTGAAAGGACAGAAATCATAAAAGGTATTTTCTTTGGCTACAATAGAATTAAACTGGAAATCAGTAATAGTTAGAAAATCTCCATATATTTGGAGATTAAAAAACACATTTTAAGTAAACACTCGGGTCAAAGAGAAAGACTCAAGAGAATATGAAAAACATTTTTAACTGAGTGGAAACGAAAATACAATTTACAAGAAAATGTGGGATGCAGCAAAAGCAGTGCTCAGATGGAACTGGATGTTAATTATATGCATATATAAGGAAAGAAGAACGATCCAAAATCAATTGATAAGCCCCTAGCTAGGCTACCTGAGAAAAAAAGTAATGCCTCAAAACAGAAGGTCTTTTTGAGAATTCAATCTGATGAAAGCTAGATTAGTTTTAAGTGTAATGCTATTTTCTGTTCTGTCACCTGTCTTTATGTTCTTAGTCCTAAAACCTTCCACGTGTCTTGAACGATCTTAAAATGATGGGTATTTTCATACTTCTTCATTGCATGTGTTTATCCCTTAATGACAAAATCAGCTATTACCTGCACTGTGTCATTTATCTAGATGAAAAAAAAAAAGTTATTCAAATGAGCCATTCAGCAAACATCTTTTGAATGCCTGCCTCCTGGGCCAAGGCATCATGGGAGAATTCTGAGGGTGCTGCAGGAAGCTTTGAGATGAGGGGCAGGAGGTCAGAGCAGGGAAAGGTGGTGTCAGTCCACTACAGAAGGGGCCAGGGCAGGGTATTTTCATGGAAGAGGCATTTTTTGAGTTGCATTTCATCATGAAGTTAAAGATTTGGTGACCCTAGGGAAAGGGAAGGGCATCAGAAGTGTGTAGAGAGGGGTGAAGGTGTTTTCCAGGAAGAGCAGCTAGCGTAGTTTTTATTGGAATGAGTAGATCCCGTAAAGGACAGGTCAGAGGTGGCTTGGGGTAACCTCCAAAAGACCTGAACCCTGGTTGGGAACTTGAACTCTAGCGAGATGCCATTGAAGGTTTGTGATCATGAGGCAGAGCTGACAGAATCATGCTGTGGGAAGAGTCTTTTGGTCGTGGGTACAGGATGGAATAAAGCCTGGAAGGAGGAGGTAGGCTCAGGACTTGCCTGATGACGGGTAGTTTGAGCCCAAGTGGAGGCCTGTGTTAGGATGGTGGCAACAGAAATAAGAAGAACGTGACTTGTGGGCAAGTCACACTGGCATGGGCAGCCCTGGTTGGCTCTGGTGTGACTGGCTTGCAAGCCTCTGATAAGTGTCTAATTGCTGGATTTAATTTCCTAGTGTGCACCTGTGTCGTCCATAAACGCTGCCATCATCTCATTATTACAGCCTGCACTTGCCAAAACAACAACAACAAAGTGGATTCGAAGGTAAGAGGGGAGCAGTGTGCGGTTAAGTGCGCCCGCAATTGTGTGTGCACGTCGCCTTCCCCCCACCCCTTCCTCTCCCCACTTCCCTCCCGCGGTCCTTGAAGCCCACGGTGCATGGTGGCATTGGAATCAAAATTTCTCTCTTTTTTTGTATGATGGCATTTGCAGCATGACCTCTTCTGGCAAGGGCTCCATTAGTGGTCAGCTGTGTGTAATTCTGTGGATCAGCTCTACAAATTCGGGGAGTCAAAGCTTTGGTGGAGTAAAAGGAGCCCCAGGCCTGACAGCTGACAGCCTGGAGCTGAATGGCACATCTAGCCACCACTGGCCGTCTGTACTATGAGTTCAGGCGAGACCCACATCTCTCTTTGCCTGGACCTTAGAACAGGACCAATACTGCCCTCACACAGTTTTTGTGAGGATAAACAAGAGAGAATCCATGTAACAAGTGTGTTATTAAGTATACATTTTGCTTCCTAAGAGGCTGACAGCCTCCTCCTGGCTCTTAAGAAATTTCAGGGAGGATGTTTATCTGTACATACAAGCTTGAACTTCATTCTTGCCAGTCGCATTCAGCTGCCATAGGCATAGGTACATTTCAGATTCTGGAGGTGGAAGGCACACAGAATATTGCAACAATTAGCTGTGAATTTGCAGAGGCATGAAAAAGTCTGACCGTGTGGCTCGGCACCTGTAGCACAGTGGTTACGGCACCAGCCACATACACTGAGGGTGGCAGGTTCAAACCTGTTGTTCGGGCCTGCTTGACAACTGCAACAACAGCAAAAAAAATAGCCGGATGTTGTGGCAGGTGCCTATAATCCCAGCTACTTGGGAGGCTGAGGCAAGAAAATCACTTAAGCCCAAGAGTTTGAGGTTGCTATGAGCTGTGACGCCATGGCACTCTACCAAGGGTGACATAGTGAGACTAAAAAAATAAATAAAAAGTCTGACTGTGGAGCTCAGTGATTCTTTATAGACACAGACAGGTTTGCACAGAGTATGAACTACAGTTTCTATGAGAAAGAGGCCTGAAAACTTCCCAGAAAGAGTATTGGTAATAATCACCCTGCTCTGTGTCATATGTTGATCTGTTTTATTGCTTTAAAGTAAAGAATCAGGGCAGAGGCTATGCTGAGGATAAAAATTTGCCGGAAGCAGTATGAAATTAAAGCAGCATCTATGCTGCGGAACGCTGAAAGGGCTGAATAAGTAGCTGCTTGAATGTCACTTTGGAACGAATTCCTTTGGGCTTCCATGTCCTCGGGGTGCTTTCCTTCCCCTGCCCCCATGGCGTGATGTCTAGAACTTGTCAAGATAGCAAGAGTGCCAAAAAAAATGTGTACACAACTTAGACGAGGAAAAACTGTATTAAAATCGTAACAGTAGACACCGATAACATTTGTATCTCTTGTCATTGCAGAAGGCAAACCTGACTTGAGTGTTACAATTTTCATCACAGTTTTTCTCCTTTCTTAAAATGCTTACACATTTGCAGGCATCCTCTGCAGTTATAAAAAACCCATTTAATCCCGAAGTCAGAGGTTCTAGGAAATAGACATGGGTGTGAGAAGATTGGCAATGAGAGATGTACAGTCTGAATATAGAGGATGAGGTGGAAGTCTCAAGTTCACGTCTCTCTCCAAACGGTGGATGATCTGATAGGCTCCCCACATTTCTTTTTTTTTTTTTTT